TCGTATTTGCCCTATCGTAGGCTGTGGTAAAAGACATCATCCTTTGCTTCATCCTGCAACATCAAACTCAGCATATCAAACATCTGCAACTCCCAAACCACTCAGCAATAGTAATCTGAAAGCTCCTGCCACAGCTCACAATGAAAGACATAGTAATGTCATTGGAAGCAAGGTGCAATGTAGTGCTACACAAACCAATCAACCATGCATAAGTTTGCAGGTGATTCCTGTTCGTGTCAGTGGGGTAGATGGAGGCCAAGAGATTGAAATCTATGCATTTCTCGACAGTGGTTCTGATTTGTCTATCTGCCTTTACAGCCTTGCTGATAAATTAGGCATTACAGGTAAGCCTGTCAATTATACATTGTCCACACTGAATACAGAGAGGCAGATTAATGGTCATGAATTACAGATGGATGTAAGAGGTCTAAATTTGGTCAATGGGGTGCGACTGGATAAGGTTTTGACAACGGATAGATTACCGATAGCAGCTGACAGTATTCCGACCAAGTTGGATATATAGGATGGTCTCACCTGAATGATATACGATATAACCAGAGTATGCGTTTCTAGTTGGTGGTGTAAGAGACTGTAATACTAGTGGGAGCTTGTGATGCCTACATAGTTCTCGTTTAGTGGCACCTTCCCGGACCGGTGTACAAATGTTAGCAAACCTAGCAAAAGATTCAGAAAACTCAACGCGGCAGGGCAGGACAATTCAGATCAGGCACAGAGACATGTCTACACTCTTCAGAACCACATGCAGAACTGAAGTTCACCACAGGTCAAACAGGTGAAACAAAGGAATCCAACTATGTAATCAATAACCAATCAGAGGGGAGGTTTGCACAACTTACACAACGCCCCCGAAAGGCGCACATCACGAGGAGCCTTACTAAATTTAAAGTTGCAGGACCCACAAATAAATAAATCATGTACATGAAAGAAAAAAAATCATTGTTCTGTTCAACAAAGGTTCATTGTTCTATTTTCTTCTTGTGATGTAGTCTTTTACTATGACGTGGCATCAAATGGGCACAACCATCTACTTGTTCATGTATT